TTGTGCCAGGTAATTTTAAAACACCCCTATAGCCAATAAGTTTTGGAGCAGACAATAAATGTAATCTATTTGATTGACCTTGACAATTGGAGATAGAAATCTGGTTGTTTCTTTATGCCTACTTTATGCACATCCTGTTATTAGGATAATCATTTGTACTAAAACATATGAAAACAATTCTGCACTATGTTATTAAAGTGATCATTTGTGAAACGTTATTTTTAAAAAAAACAACATTTTTTAAAGTTTGAAAGTCATGGAGTGAATACAAAAAAATTACAGACAAAATGACAAAGCCATTCCAAAAATCCCCTCCGACTTTGTAGCAGTTAATTAATAAGCTGTATGAGACCTACATGACACATCATGAACTTACAGAAACGTTGGAAACCTATAAGAAACAAAAGGAATTTTATGCTTTAGTCATAGTCGAAGTGGAATATCCATGTATCTGCCTACACACCAATCTAAAATATAAGGACAATAAGGTGCTATGGGAAATGGTAAGTAAAAAGACAGGTAAAATATTGATCCAACGGATTTTTTTGTGTTTGTTTCTTGTGTCTGGGACAGAAAGATGCACTTACATTTTAGTCCCAGATTGGGTTTCAAAAATTGTGGCCCAGTTTTCTTAAATTCATACTGATGCAAGAGCATCTGTAACATTAACATTGTATTAAATGTCATAAGACATCCTTAAGTTTGTTTTGGTTTTTTTTCTCAACAAATTAATATACAAATAAAACAGTAGTACTGGTATATGCCTTTATCATTAATCAATCAATTACATTCATAAAAATAGACACATTTTGATAACAAATGGAAAATTTAAATCTGGAATTAAACTGTTTTTTTCAATAATCAATAGGTAAAATAAATGAAACTGTAAATTATGCATCCCTTTTACATCAAAGTTCATTGCCGTTTGCCTTATTTCAAACATAATGCATACTTTCAACCCATGTAATATTACATGTACTACATGGTATAATCTCACCAGAGTTGGTGTGCCCCTGACATGAAAACAAAACCTACTTTCACACATGTCTATTAATTCAGTAATCAATAAAATTAACATAATTAAAAGAATACTATTGAATCTCTTACAATGAGAAACAGATTTATCTTTATAGTTTTATCTGCAGGACAAAAGGGGTCCGAGATTTTGGACAATTTAATACACATCATTAACTGACTTACAAAATAATGATTTGTTTTAGAAAATGCTAAAAAAAATATATAATAATAGCAGACGAAGGACTACAAAAAATAAGGATGATTGTCAAATATTTAAATTAATTTTATTTATAATTTAGATAATAGTTATAAGATGTATTGTTATATTATATAAGATAATATAGTAAAATGACTATAATTAAGGAAATATTTCTTGTTATTCAGAAAACAAGTAATTTATGAAATGACTAAAAAATAGCTGTGCACACATTTAAAATTTAAAATAAAAGTAAAAATGAACAAAATTCTATCATTAAATGACCCTACACCCGTGTAAAATAGCATTTGCAGCATCACAAAGTTTTCAAAGTTTAAATTTTTCTTAAAGGAGCTCCACTAAGGTTGAAAAACATAAAATTTGATTTTTTACATAGATCAAGTGACGCAATTACCATTGAAATATCTGCAAAAGATAATAAAAAAAATATACTCAGGATTAAAAATTGCAAGTCCATAGTAAGTTCCATTCTTAGCACAATTGAGTGAAATGCATTGGAAATCTTTATTTTTAGATCATTTTGCACACAAAAATAATAATTCTAGGGAATGATCTGAAAATTTGTACAAAAGTTAATGATTCAGACCTTCTTCAAATGGTATAAAAAAAATCCCTGAATTAAAATATCCCGTCCCATCATGTCTAAAAATCTCAGTGGAGTGCCTTTAAAATAACAAGCTCAGTTTCTCAATATCTATTTTTAGCACAGTTATAAATATATCAAACGAGACACAATTTTTTAATACTTAAATTAATACTGATAATTTCAAAACATTTATTTTGTGTAAATCTTTGGTATGGAGTACATTAAAACACTTAAATATCTTACTACAGCAATGGTCAACAATGTAAAAAGTCAATAATACTTTAAGTAATACATTATTCATATTTAACAAACAAATAAATTAATCAAGACACACATTAATTTTATTAAGTGGATGCAGTATCAACAGTTTTATAACCATCAAGTTATATAGATATATGGATATAAATTGTCATCATTATTTAATGCTAAATTTATACTGAAACAAACCTTGTCACTGGAAACAGATAAATGTTTCCTAAGCTGGACCCCGTAAAAGAATCATGACCTTTGACATGCAACAAAAGCATGGCTACTATAAACAAGAGGGCCATGATGGCCCTTATATCGCACACCTGAATAGGAAGGTTCAATCCATTTTATTTGGGCTGTGTGACCTTGTTTTTGACCAGAGGTGACCCATATTCAAACTTGACCTAAAAATCACCAAACAACCTTTCTTATCAACTTCCTGGATATTGGGATCAAAACAAAAGACGCTAGAGTGTTAACAAGATTTTCTTATTTTTATTCATAAAGTAAGAGTGACCTTGACATTTAAACTGGAGGCCTAGTCCTTGCATTGCATATGACATGTCTCCTCATTTTGCATTACATTATTGCAAAATCTTTTTCAAATTTATCCATGACAAGACAGTTGACCGGACACAATCCTCATTGCACTTTAATGAAAAAATAGATTATCAATTCATGTGTGACCTTGACCTTTGAGCTACAAGTCTTGGTTTTATGAAAGATGCCACCGCTCATTGAGAGTAACATTTTTGTTTCATTATTATTTCAAAATCCAACAATAAATGATATAGTTATGGACTGGAAAAAAAGCAAAATATTAGACAGGCAAATTAAAAAATATATGCTCCCATTATACACACGTGTTATATGTACAAAATAATTTCGAAATTGATCCATGTTATGGACTAGACAAAAAGAAAACAGACAGATGGACTATTAAAAACTATATACTCTTAAAATATACAAAATTATTTAAAAATCCATCCATAAATAACAAAGTTATGGAAGGACTGATAGACCCTCGAAACCCTTCTAGGCATAAAAATGACAAAGAAACAATCAATCAAACTAATAATTGTTAAACTTCATAAAAGAAATTTCATAGAAAAATCTGAAAATCTTACCCTTTACTGAGACAATGTAACAAACAAAATTACAAGTGAGACAATAAAGCAAATATAATTTTTGTGAGGAAATTCAGCTAGAACAAGTTCAGTGAAAAAAAAAAAACAACTTAAAAATACATTTTGTAAAAATACATTTTGTAAAAATACATTTTGTAAAAGACAATCTAAAACACAATTCACTTGTAGTTACAAGTGGCCCCTTAACCCTTGAGGAATACCTGAGATTTTGTCTTGGTTTTCCAAAAACCAAGTTAAGGCACCACCCTGTAGTGACAGTCAAATAGTAAAATTCCTGCTTTAAAAAGCTTTTGCACTACGATTTAACAAAACCACTGCAATGACGTGGCCGAGTGGAAAACATAACTGGCTAAAGATTGGATTTGACATGACATGACAAATCATGCACAAAAACAAATGAGCCGCGTCACAACAAACCAACATAATGGGTTTGCGACCAGCATGGATCCAGACCAGACTGCGCATCTGCGCAGTCTGATCAGGATCCATGCTGTTCGCTATCAGTTTCTCTACTTGTTATAGGGTTTGTAAGCGAACAGCATGGATCCTGATCAGACTGCGCAGATGCGCAGGCTGGTCTGGATCCATGCTGGTCGCAAACCCATAATGTTGGTTTTGTCGTGACACGGCTCAAATTATTTACACGAAACAACAAAAAATAAATATGCTGTTTATTTTAATGCTTTTATGATTATAAAATCCCTGAATACAAAAAAAAAAATATACAAAGATCTTCAACTTAAATTTCTATAATATCATTTCAAAGTAAATGCCCTCATTTCGAACAACATTGGCCAAATAATTCATATTTACCCAGACAAATGGTAATACAGATATTTTTTAATACACATATATGGTGTGTTGTCTAATTGATTCATTACTTTACTCTCTCAAATGTACAAAACAACAACACCCGACCTCACACCTCCCCCCTCCCCACAAAAAAAAAAAAACAACAACCAAACAACAACAAAATACCAACAACAACTAACAGTACATGTACATTATTCTTGTTAATTACAGCATTCAGATCTAAATACATGAGATTAATTATAACACCAAATACAAATACTTACAATAGTAACATTATCATATAACATCACTTTCATATCAATTTGACATATACTTTGTATGAACTACCACCAAATATCATTAAATCAATCATTTACAAAAACATGATGAACAAAAGACATCATAGTAATTAATACCTGTTACCAAGTTTGTATTTTACCCTTTAACCTGCTAAATTTGTGTAATGGATGGGCCCTGCTGCACGTTTTCAACATTCAAAGCTTAAGGGACTACAATATCAAATACTAACAGTATAGAGCCTGGTCAGGTTGGCCCGATCTAGAACTTGGTCAGGATGGCCTTGCTCTAGAATCTGATCAGGCTGACCTGGCTCTAGAACCTGGTCAGGCTGACCTGGCTCTAGAACTTGGTCAGGTTGGCCTCACTCTAGAAACTGATCAGGTTGGCCTTGGTCTAGAGCCTGGTCAGGCCGGAATGGCTGTAGAACCTGGTCAGGCTGGCCTTGCTCTAGAACCTGGTCAGGCTGGCCTGGCTCTAGAATCTGATCAGGCTGACCTGGCTCTAGAATCTGATCAGGCTGGCCTGGCTCTAGAACCTGGTCAGGCTGGCCTTGCTCTAGAATCTGATCAGGCTGACCTGGCTCTAGAACCTGGTCAGGCTGGCCTGGCTCTAGAACTTGGTCAGGTTGGCCTCACTCTAGAAACTGATCAGGTTGGCCTTGGTCTAGAGCCTGGTCAGGCCGGAATGGCTGTAGAACCTGGTCAGGCTGGCCTTGCTCTAGAACCTGGTCAGGCTGGCCTGGCTCTAGAATGGTGACAAAGGCTTATCATTATCTGTTTCAGCAGGTACAAGGTTTAAGAAGCATATTTATTCTAATTCCTGGACAACATATCGCAGCTTTTTTATAGCCAGCACTATCATCTCTGAGTCAAGGTCGTTGTGGGTGACAATTCGGGTTATATGTGGGTATATTGGGACACTTCGTACAGTGATACTCTCCCCAAGTTCCTCTCTTTCTTTGTCTGTTACCTAAAATAGTAATATTATTATGAATAGAAACATTATTTTTTACTCCAATAATTTTTTATTTACATGACAAGCATGACCTTTAAAATTTTATCATTTTTCAAATGTTTCAATATTATATTTCAAAAAACGTTTGTGTTGGGATATAAAATTTTCTTTTAAAAATAAAGATATTTTTACCTACTTAAATAAACTTCTATGAAGTTTTTATTCTTTAGGGTTTTTTTTAAAAGACTTTTCCCTCATTTCATTAGCCAGAAATGATTAAATCACCAGTCCTATAAATGGTGTAAAATGCTGTTTTGTCTATAAAAATAGCAAATGAAAGTGAAACCAAATACATGTATATAAACTAATCTGGTGTTCATTTTCAAGCTATATTGGGGGACAGTCACTTGTTGTTTAAGGTGTCTGCTTTCCTGGCAAAGATATATTATCACCGCAAATAGGGCTGAGACTTTGTATGTAAAAAAATGATCAATCATAAATTTTAACAGATGATGATATAAGATTTATGTTATAATAAGTTAGCAGTAATCTAACAAGAGCTACTGGATTCTGTACATCAATTTCAAAGTAAATTCCATCTTTACATATACACAGTCTCTTCATTCAAAAGAAGATCATATGTTGATTACACAAATAGTGACATATAAAAATAAATATTCTACAACTAGAACACCTACTACAAAAATAGGGTCCTACAAATAAGATCCTAATTATCTGCCAATTAAGCTGTCAAATTTCTGTATGGACAAACATCCAATCTGCATGGACCAAAATGCAAGACTCTGAGTCAATATAATCAACATTTTAAATCTATAATTAAAACATTACAGTACAAACCTCCATTAATCGTTGAGAGAACTGAGCAGATTTTAGTCCTGGTTTTAACATCTCAAACATAACCATGTTTGTATCTAATCCAACATCCGTTATACCTATAGCTGTACTATTGACTTCCTTAATAGCTACATAAATATACATAATTATAAATTATCATACATAGTACAATCATACTAAAGAAAAACATTTTCTTCTTCGAAAAGCTAAGGATGAAAAAGAATTTTTTATAAATTGCCAAGTAAGTAATGTTTTCTTATACCTTATATACCTTTATGCAATATAAATAGACAAATTTTTCAAACTCTTTAAATGTACCACATTGATATTAAAAAAAACAACAATTGGTTGTTGGTTAAAAAGAGGAAAATTAGGATTCTTAAACCCGTGATAAAACCTCTGTTACTTTCTCTATTTATTCACATTAAAAGTAAATTTTTAAAATTTACAATTAAACAACTACAATCATGTACCTTTAGCTACTTGTGAAGCATTATTGTTATCAACATACAGTTTAGGAACAATGTTATCTAGGGAGTACAATGCTGCGGCTGCTACAACTCCAGCCTGTCTCATACCACCTCCCAAACCTTTACGCATCCTCTTGGCCCTATATATGTAAAATAATATAATTGAGCCGTGCTATGACAAAAGCAACATAGTGGGTTTGCCACCAGCATGAATCTAGACCAGCCTGCGCATCCGCGCAGTCTGATCAGGATCTATGCTGTTCGCTATCAGTTTCTCTACTTGTTATAAGGTTCGTAAGTGAACAGCATGGATCCTGATCACACTGTGCGGATGCGCAGGCTGGTCTGGATCCATGCTGGTCGCACACACATTATGTTGGTTTTGTCATAGCGCGGCTCATATGTACTTCTGTTACTATAAATACATTCTTAACCAGAAACATACTAAATTTCTCCAACTTTTTGGAGCTTTCCATGATTTTTGGGGATATCAAGACGAAAATCATTAAGTCAGCCAACAGTATAGAGACTGGTCAGATTACAACGATGTAGCAGGCTGGCCTGGTACTAGGCTGGTGCGGCGTGGTGCCAAAGACTAAGCACTTTAATGCCAGTTCAAGCAAGGTAAGAGTTAACAATGCATTAACAGAATGAGCGCAGAAAATGATAAAATATTTGATTAATTAATAAAATTTCCTTGATACTAGTAAGTACAAACATAAAAGTTAGTACAAACATATGATTACTGTAATTAATTCAGAAAATGCAAGTTAATAGATAGAATATACAGATTGAGACTTCTTGTCTATGAATTTGATCTATAGACTTATTTACTGGTTGAAAATCTTATTGAGGCTTTTATGGTAGCTCAATGCATATCTCTTCCCCCAGTTGCTATTTGAATTCACTGTTGGGAACCAGACTTCTGTTATGCAATGGGGCTTATGATGTACCTTATAGAAATAATGGACATAGTATCTTACCACATTAAATGGACTTGTCAATCTTTCAGTCTGGACAAAGCCCTTCATCATTTTAAGGGAAAACTTCAAAATTTATACTGAATGGATAACAGTGAATACCATGATCAGACTACTCTAAGTAAGGAAAATAAGTAAGAAAACAGGAATTGAGGTCACAATTATCTCCTAAAGATTATTCTGTTTATAAATGTTAAAAACAATGACACAAAGAAAGAGTTTAAATCCTCCAGAAGACTTCAGACCTTTAAACCATATTTATGAACACTCAAAACATCATAACTCCAAAACATTTTCATCCAATGAAACATGCAAACCATATGTAAAACTATGCTTGTTGAGAATCACTTCAGTGAACGTTTTATTAAAATGATTTTAAAATCAGGCTAGCGGTTTTAGAGATAAAGTTAGGACAAAATTGTACAAAATGGAGGTCAGACCGACGAATGATTGGACAGTGAAGTCAGTACATGCATCTCTTAGGGGGTATAAAAATAATCTCATTTAAGAACTGATTGCAGAAATGTCTTTTCTTAGTTACTTGTTGACTGAGTTATGTTGGTTAAGTTTGGCTTTCAAAACGCACTTGGTGCAAGGGGACATTATACAAAGTACACTTAGATATGATGCAGCTCAAGAGTTGTCCCCCTTATTTCATTTATTTTTTTATTGGCAGGATTCCAACTTAAGGCTGTGATTCAAGATGAAAGCCACTGTCAGGTGTTCATTTTTTTCTGATTTGAAAGACTATTTTGAGGTTAACACTGACTACATGTAGTAATAATAAGTGCACTTACATGTGTATAAAATCTTTGCTACCAGCTATTATAGAACCTATAGGTGCAGCCAGCCCCTGTGTGACAGTAATGTTATGAATGTTAGTGTTATAATATAAGAACAAAATTAAAATTAAATCAATAATAATAAAATTAAAATTCTAACATGACTTGCTATCAGTCGCAACAAACACACACTTTCAAGCAGCAAATATCTATATTTGAGCCGCGTCACGACAAAACCAACATAATGGGTTTGCGACCAGCATGGATCCAGACCAGCATCAGGATCCATGCTGTTCGCTTACCAACCCTTTTACAAATAGAGAAACTGATAATGAACAGCATGGATCCTGATCAGATTGCGTGGAGGCGCAGGCTGGTCTGGATCAATGCTGGTCGCAAACCCACTATGTTGGTTTTGTCGTGACGCGGCTCATTTGTGTTTAAAAACTTTATTGTAATTCTCAGTAGGGGTTAACAACACAACTATATGATAAATAATGTCATTCTACAGAAGTAAAATGTATAAAGCTATATATTTGTTGTCTGTTTATTGTAATTTACAATTGTAAAATTATTGTTTATTTTGTGATTAAAATTATCACAGAATATATAGAATGACAGAAATATGTCAGTATATTTAATCGAAAGTGAGTGGAGCATGCATCAAAAACTGCCAAACCTACTAATCTGCCTATAGATTATAAATTTATTGTTTAAATTTTGGAAAAAAAGAACCCTTCCAAAAGACCTGTATAAAAGAAATAATAAATTTGAGCCAAACCATGACAAAAATCAACATTGTGTGTTTGCGACCAGCATGGATCCAGGCCAGCCTGCGCATCCGCACACTATGATGGTTTTGTCATGGCGCAGCTCAATTATGTTTGTTAATTTTGTTTACAGCAAATGGCACATTCAGAAATTATTTGCTAAATTGTTAATTCCATATATAACTCCTGTAAAATTTATTGTTTGAATTTTAAAAAAGAATACTTCCAAAAAGCTTGTATGACATAAACATGGTAGATAATTGCCTTAAAAGCAAAGGACGCATGCACAAAATCATTGCTAGATGGATAAAACCCTAATAAAAATAGTAAATAATATTTTGTTCTGGAACATTTTATTTTGTTTACATAGTATGTAATTACAATATTCATGTGTGTTAATTAACAGAGACACATTCTATGTTAAAACATATTTGGGAATCTACCATATAATAATGGAACCAATATATTTTCACTGTTGATAAATTTTATAAAAAATATTTCATAAGATATAGATTTATACCCTTTAAAATAACAGCAAAACACTTTTTATTTCACAACATTTCATTCTTTTTATGCGAAACATTCATGTGTGTTACATATCAGAGAAATTCTATGTTGCAACTCTTTCAATACTCAACCAATTAAATTATAATAAAAACATAGTTTTACAATTTGCAAATTTTATTCAATAAAAAATCACTAGATACAACTTGATATCTTTTAAAACCAGATGTGCAAAACTTTCTAACGCTTCACCCAATGAAATTGTCATAGGTTAAAAATACCTATGAGATGAGTTAAGTCTTTTATATGAAAAACAAAATTAATATGGTCATGGAAATAAATCAATTTTAATGATATAGTTCATCTATTATACATGCAGTTAATTATTGTTAATATGATACAATGGTGAAAATTTCAATATTATCATTCATAAACAAGCATGCTGGGATTACTAAAATCTAAGCTGTTGTTTACCTTTGAAAAGCACATGTTTACACTGTCACTGTATTTCATGATCTCAGATACTGGTACCCCTTGTGCTGCAGCAGAGTTTAGAATCCGGGCACCATCTGTGTGCACCTTTATGTTGTTGTCTTTTGCTATTTGCCACACCTTAAAATTTCAACCTTAGATAATAGTAAAAATATCAAGATCCCCTTTCAGCAAAGATCATTCAGTTAGATTAACGTTCCTTCTTTTTTGTCACATTTTTCAGTCATGTCAATACTCTTAAGATCATAAGCAGGGTTTTCATCATTAACAGATTGGCAATCAATATCATCAGTTGAAATGCTGTTAAAATTGGTTGTATTTTTAGCTTGTAGATTAAAAAAATCCCCTTTACCCTTGGACAAATTGGTTGTTTTCGTGGGAAAACAACTGTTGCCTCAGATAAAAATAAAAACCCTGCATAAGACAACATTCTTGCTTTACTGGTACAGGAATAACTCAGATGACCTCTTGAAATTTTTGTCTAACATGAGCAGGCACCTTGTTAAATGATTCCCTATAAATGATTGTTATCTTATATAACCTAGCTCTCCCTTTGGGGAGCATAAAAATCATCTAACAAAATTGCAGTCTTTTCATAACCTACAAAGTAACGCTGCCTTTTCTGAATAACTAACTGTTCAAAAAGATTTTCAGCTAAAAATTGAGATTTTAAAACTTAAAGCTGCATGCCTCCAGATCAGCCAACATATTTCATTAAAATCAAACTTGAGAAAAATGTACTAAAATTTTAAAGAAAATACAACAACTTAAGTAATTAGTAACATGTGATGTGTGATTAATGACTGATTTGCAGTATTAATCACTATTTTTCCACGGCAATTTATGTCTAAGTTCCGTTTGCAATGTTTGAATTACTTTCTTTGTTCACTTCACAATATTTTTCTTTTTAATACATTTCCAAAACTGTCATGAAAATTGCCATGAATCTGGAGGCATGCTGCTTTAAGATAAAATCATTTTCTGCCTAAAATGTTTCAATCTAATCAACACATCTCTACAGTCTAATGCGAATTCACTTATATTCGTGGGCATTAAATTTCGTGGTTTTATCAAAACGGGCATATTTGTGGGTTTTCTTAAATTCGTGTATTTTCAATTTCTTGTAAAAAATAAAATAAATAACCTAATGCAAAGTAATCTTACACTTAATCGCCGCGCGTTTTACTTACCGCGCGTTTTACTTTAAGTTATTCACACAGCGCTTGCCAATTTTAATCCTTGCCTCTGGGCATTCATTACACAAAAATCGGCGGAAAAGCGCCGATGCATGTATGTAATGTATAGAATAGAGACATGGCAAGAAGTATTTGTTGGGATAAAATTTTGTCGGATCTTAAATTCGTGGATTTACCTACCCACGAAAATTCGTGCCCCACAAATAATGATGATTTTTCAGTATTAATTTACAATGATGTAATGCTGTAATGCATCATGGTATACTAGTACCTGTTTTAAGAAAGACAATGGTAAAGCTTTCCCACCACAGAAATTTTGAGAATTTTCCAGACATATAAGTTTGGTAATAGGTTGATGGACATCATTCACAGGTCGTATAACTCGACAAAGTTCATCAAGGTCAAAGGTTCCATCGTCATTGTTTTGTATTGTCCTTGCCATCACACCTGCAAACTGTAGACAAATATATGTCATATGCACCATATGGACCAGTACAACTATATTGTACTTATATAAAAGTGATATATTCTTAACTTTTTAGAATGACAAATAATATATATTCTTAAGATTTTAACACTAAAAATAATTACACAAGTTCTGTACAGTTGCCTTGCCAATAATTGTCAAATCATCATAAAATAATCTCCCATTGATCATCAAGAACAAAATAACTATCCAGCTACCGTAAACTTTTTTTTGTATATATAAAATATTGTATACAGGTGCTAGACAGTAATTTTGTTCTTGATGATCAAGGGGAGATTATTTTATGATAATTTGACAATTATTGGCAAGACAAGTGTGCCGAATGCCTGTGATAATAATTGATAAGAAATTTAAATAAATCTTTTATTATGAATAAAATTAATGTATGTAAAAAAATCTTGTGACAAAAAGTCACACTGGAGATCCATTGACTAAAAAAATAGCAAGATATATTTTATACAGAGAATAATTCAAATAAGGGCAAATAACTCAAAAACAATATTACTGACCAGCAGGCCTCCATCAATTCTTTTTTGCTTTAAAAGTTTTTGTTATCATATTCTAAAACAAAAAGTTTCTGTTCTGTTTTCATATTCTAAAACCAAAAGTTTTTATCAATTATTCTAAAACCAAATGTTTCTGTTAATTCATATTCTAAAACCAAAAGTTTCTGTTATCACATTCTAAAACATTTTCTGTAATCATATTCAAAAACCAAAAGTTTTTATTATTATATTGTAACACAAAAAGTTTCTGTTATCATGTTCCAAAACCAGCAAAGTTTAAACAAATCCAATGAAACATTTTTTTCCCTAGACAATTATGTACATTTTAAGCACTGTAAACAGCTAATGAGGAAGTCAATAATAATTAAAACAAATAAACTTATTGTCATTTATGACAACCAAATAAAGCAGAAAATTGGAGAAAAAAAAATACATAAAAGATTTAAAGATATAATAAAATTTCCAATCATCCTATACTAAACTATTATCTTACAATATACTTACACTTTAAGTGATGCTGACATTCCTTTTTTCAGATACAGGTATTTACTTTAAATTTACTTTATAGCATATAAGTATCAAAACTAGAATATCTCTGAGGGTCAGTGAAACAAAGTTTGGTTTTAAACAGGTTATTACTGTAAATGTGTGACACCCTGGCAAAGTTTACTTATCTAAGAATATTTACATAAAACCCATTATAACCACAATTTTACATTATGTTGTATCAAGTGATGTACCTGTGAAATACCGGCCTGCTCGTTTAGCAGTATATGAGATTTATGTCCTACTATAGCTTCCTGTCCACGTTCACGACAGTGTACCAAAACTGAAATACATGGTATCTGTATGAACAAGAGTTGTCTGTAAGACAGCGCAATCAACTATCTTTAGTGCTTGACAGAAAGAAAAGGGGCAAAACTCTGTAAAATGGTAACTCAAAGTTATATGACCTGTGCCCATCATGTCAGGTCATCACAGTGAAAAAGTGTGTGAAGTTTTAACCCCATTTCTTCAGTAGTTTTTGGAAATACCAACAATTAAATTTTGATCTAAACAAAAATTAAAACTACTAACGGTGTCTTTACTTTTTGATATATAAGCTTTCATACATACTTGAAATAAGATTTCCCATTGTACCAGTGGGTACTAGAAGGGAATCTTCAGTCCCAAACAACTCTGCACATCTTCTCTGTAACTCTGAAAATATTCATCCATACAAAATATCTTAAGTAATATTTTCACTACAAATACTACATTATATAAATATAACACAATATAACCCCAAAGAATGTTATAGAAACTAGAGGATGCTTTTGTAAAAAAGCGCATGTCTCCCCCACTGCTGAGAATAACTGTGAATGGAAACAGGAATGGAAATGGAGATAAAAGAACAGAGTATATAAAACCAGACAACTGATATATCACTGATATATCAATAATAGTTAAATGTCCTCACTGATAAGAACTCTAGTTATCATCCGGAAATGAGAAAATGACCAATGGTCACTGTGACCTTAACCTTTGACCTACTGACCCCATAAACAAGAGGGATCATCTGCTCAATAAGACCAATCATCCTATGAAGTTTGAGGGTTGTAGGTCTAAAGGAACTCTAGTTATCATCCGGAAAGGAGAAATTAACCAACGGTCGCTGTGACCTTGACCTTTGACCTACTGACCATTAAAACAATAGGGATCATTGATTAATAAGAATCCTATGAAGTTTGAGGGTTGTAGGTCAAAAGGAACTCTAGTTATCATCCGGAAATGAGAAATTGACCAACGGTCACTGTGACCTTGACCTTTGACCTACTGACCCCAAAAACAATAGGGATCATCTGCTCTATAAGACCAATCATCCTATGAAGTTTGAAGGCTGTAGGTCAAAAGGAACTCTAGTTATCATCCGGAAACGAGAAATTGACCAACGGTCACTGTGACCTTGACCTTTGAACTACTGACCCCAAAAACAATAGGGATCATCTGCTCAATAAGACCAATCATCCTATGAAGTTTGAGGTCTGTAGGTCTAAAGGAACTCTAGTTATCATCCGGAAACGAGAAATTGACCAACGGTCAGTGTGACCTTGACCTTTGACCTACTGACCCCAAAAACAATAGGGATCATCAGCTCTATAAGACCAATCATCCTATGAAGTTTGAGGGCTGTAGGTCAAAAGGAACTCTAGTTATCATCCGGAAACGAGAAATTGACCAACGGTCACTGTGACCTTGACCTTTGAACTACTGACCCCAAAAACAATAGGGATCATCTGCTCAATAAGACCATTCATCCTATGAAGTTTGAGAGCTGTAGGTCAAAAGGAACTCTAGTTATCGTCCGGAAACGAAGAATGGACGGACGGACTGACGGACGGACGGACTGACGGACGGACGGACAGGGCAAAGACAATATGTCTCCCCCCGAGGTGGGGGAGACATAAATATACATAATTGTATCATTCAGTAAAGTTTTAGTGAAATATATCAAGAAACAGAAAATGGACAATGTGCTTGTCTTTTTTTCAGTGCTTGATAGTTAGACAAGAGCCTGGATAATGTAGAAATTCAAAGTTCCAAAAGGGCCATAATTCCGTCACAATCTACATTAGAGTTATAGACTTTGAACAGTGAGCTTATATTATGCTCTAAATGTGTTTAGTTTCAACCCATTCCTTTCAGTAGTTTTGTAAATGCAAACTTGCATTTGAAAACTTAATCAAAGTGTGACGAGTATGGAGACGCCAACGCCTGGGTGAGTACAATAGCTCTCCCTATTCTTAAAATAGTCAAACTAAAAATGTAATCTTCTTTGCATTTTTTCAGGGAAATATGGGCAACTGGATAGAAGTACTGATCTTCAGTAATAAAACTTGCTTTGACACAATCATGTAAGAAATAAAATTCTCTAACTGACTTATGCTTACATATGCAGGGGACAAAATTTTAATGCTGTACAGCAAAAAATCATAGCCATGTACATTGTAAATAACCTCTTTTTGTGTTATACATCATAATTACATCCTAATTATCTAAGATGACAAAAATGAGCCAATTGTTATGACAAAACCAACATACACATGTAATGGGTTTGCGACCAGCATGGATCCAGACCAGCCTGCGGATCCGCGCAGTCTGATCAGGATTCATGCTGTTCGCTTACAAACACTATTACAAGTAGAGAAACTGATAGCGAACAGCATGGATCCTGATCAGACTGCGCTAATGCGCAGGCTGGTCTGGATACATGCTGGTCGCAAACGCACTATGTTGGTTTTGTCGTGACGCGGCTCAAATTTTTTACCATTAACAGTTGGATCCTCTCCATACACGTCATCTCCCACCTCAGCCTCGGCCATTGCCTGTCTCATAGCTGGACTTGGTTTGGTTATAGTGTCACTGCGTAAGTCCACATGTTTTATCTCCCCTGCCTGCTCTTGTGACATGGTTACAGTTGTACTTGGTTTCACACCTGAATGATACCTTGAAAATGCCTGTAAAAATAAACAATACTTTAATAATATAACATTTTTTATAAATGATCTATCATAAATTACATTTAAAGCAGCATTTCTGTACTTAGAAATGCAAGCCCCAACCTTCCTTACACTAATTATAATACATTCATCAGATTGATTTTTACCCATTATTTGAAAGTAACAAAACCAATTAAATTTTGATGATTACACCTAACATAATGTAGATGATTTTCATAATTCTTTAACAGAAGCAATATATGAAAATAATCTTTACAGAAAAATGCTTGAATTCTACTTTTCATATTATTCTTGTTTGATAAGTTTGAAAAGCATGATTATAAAATAGGTCAATAAAAACAGAAACAATCATGTATTGTACATAAAACTTCAGTCAATATTTATTTTGAAATTTCCCCTAAAAATGATGAATGGTTTAGTCTAGATTGTGAGATGGACAAGTCCATTTAAGATATTAAGCGCGGCTAATGAAATCAATCCTCAGATTCAATGTTTCAAGATTATAAGAAATATATGGCATAAATTAAACCTCTTGTTATAGCTTATAACTTCAAATAGTACTTTTGGTTTAAACATATTTATTTAAGCTTTATTGTGAAATAAGTTCTTGCAATTATATTAATCACTTTCGAGTCTGCTTCCTCGAACCAACCAGTACTGGTGTCATATGATGAAACAGGGTGGTGCCCCGATTTGGGCCTGAACCCATGATCCCTGGGTTGAGAGGCAGACACCTTAACCACTAGGCCACCGCTTCCTTTAAAAAAATACTTTTAATCTTTCATTTTTCAACCCTTTAATCATTATAAGACGTGAGTCAAAACATCTGAAAATATTTTACCTATACCTTTTACACAAGCTATTTTATTCAAAGTAATTCAGTGAGACAATAGTTAAGGACTATTGAAGAAACAAAGAATTCGCAAGAAAAAATCATGCAAACTTGCCAAATATTGAAATGTCAATAAGCAGTATGCAGTTAGACTGGATCAGATCAGAGCCTCTAAATATAGAACTATATACATGTACACAAATGTGGATAAACAAGCGTAACTTTGCTTGCAGTAATCCAAATTCCTCCAAAACTTTACCATAGAATTCAATGACACATTAAACTTGACCTGTTTTATCACTAAATTGCCATATAATGTACATCAATGACCTAGTTTACCTTCACTTTAATCTTTCACTTTTAATTTGACATTCATACTCACTGTGTGCTGACAACCACTGGATTTAAAATGCTGGGTACCAGTGACTACCAAAACTTTCCTTAATATATGCAGGGATCCAGGCAATCTTATACCAGCAAGGCTCATTTTGAAATATCTGTGTGGAAATAAAAAACAACAACATATACATGTAGTTAACTAACTAAGTTTTTACAAATTTGCTTTCTTATTATCACAGGTTTAATGTTTAACAGACAGTAACAGACAGAGACCATTTTAATACTGGCTACTTATTTCTTGACATACTTGGTTGACTGTAAACGTAGAAAAATATAAAAGTTGAATACAGTATATACATGTACATGTACTTTGACCAAACAGAATACAAAAAATAAAGATTAGGGTCTGAATATAATATTCATGACATACTAGCCTTTTTCCTATATTTTGGAAGGCCACCCATACTGTTTAAATCCAGAAAAAAAGTGTATGAAAAAAGTCAAAGATTTGTCATTTTGGTGTATTATGAAACACATACATTATAAAAGAACAGCTTCTATTTATAGTAGATTTTATTTTATATATCGTCTGAGCTGTTATATTATTGAAGGCCTGACTGCCTTGGAAAAAAACTATTGCGGCGGTGAAATGATCTGAGTGGAAACTTTGTGTAAATACATCCAACAGACATTGATTTGCATCATTCTTCATCAGTGCATAATCTACACAAATTTGGAAAAAATTAAATAGGTCCCTTCTGCAACTTATATTTATTTCTGTATTCACTTTTTGTTAGATTTCTGCAGAAAATTAAGTCTATTTTAAAATCTATTTTGCCATAATTCAGAGCCATAAAATTAATTCACACTTGTTTATGTCGAATTTTAGAAGCGATTTAATAACAATAAAATCAACAATATTTTTTGTATAAGTTGCAGACACCATTTTATTGCTGATTTCTATTATAATTAATATTATTACATGTAGGCCTATTCCTCATTGGCAATAAATAAATGTGCAGTCTTGCATACATGCATGTCTTTTTACACCCACAGCCAAAAAAATTACAACATTGTATTGTGCAACATTGTATCACAACATTGTATTACAACATTGTATTACAACATTGTATTACAACATTGTATTGTGCATGACTGAGAATATACTTACAAGGATCTAATAATGCATCTTTTCATCACGATAACAAACATATTGACCGTACTGACCCTACCACGTTAATATGAATAATAATATATATATGGTCGAGATGACTCGGATGCCAATTTGTTTCGAATGACAGACTATGCTCTCCCTTACCAGTTCCTCCACCCGATGGTTCTCCCCAAAACTGTTTCCTCCCCTGACGGTTCTCTCCCAAATTTGAAATATGCAAACAGTTCTCCCCATTTTTTTTAGTTATCATTTAGTTTTGTCTTAATCTAATAATGTTTCTTAATGAAGATTATTAAAAGAATGTTTTTATATTAAGTGCATTTTATGTTTATGTTTATCTGAAAAGTATTTGTAAATTTAACACCTTTTTTCGGCTATTTCAATCCTATCAACACCTTCATTGTGAGGGATCAAGATTATTGAACAGTGTAGTTATGTAATGGTCTAGTGATGTTCATTCATTTGTTAAATAGTGAATAAGGTGGTAACAAATATGTTCTAGAAAATAAATAAGCAACAATTAGTATACATGCAATCACATTTCACATTTACTATTTATTTAAAATTTATTAAAGATCTGGAGCATTTTATGTATGAATAAAATCTTTCAATTATGGAATATAACAGGCCTTTTGATTGGTTGTTTTGTTAGGTTATAGGTTAAACAATATTTTGACAGGTTAAAGGTCAAATTGTATTACTACGCTAGTGCTTATAAATACATGTAGATAGTTTTGGCGGCATTCTTATTACAGTTTTGTCAGACACGTTTGCGAATTGAGGCTTTTTTCAAATTTGCCACTCCCACTCACCCTAGTTTGGTTTTTAATTTTTGCTGTTTTGTAATTTTTTATTTGCGCTGTATGATGTTTTTGTGGTGGTGCGATAGCTTAGTTGAGTTGGTTAGACCACTGATTATCACTCCTGAGGTCCCGGGTTCGATCCTGGGTTATAACCTTGGGATTTTTCAGAGACACTTTCAGTGTTTCCCAGTTCCCACCTACCTAGAGGTGCACTGGTAAGAAATCAGGTAATCCTGGCATGTATCAGTGCTATACACTGAGCATGCAAAAGAACCAAGGGTTCTATTCAATAAGCTGATAAGAGCTAGGAACTGGTTCCCGGATTCCCTTGTATCTCATAGCTGTCTCTTAAAAATGTATACAATTTATACCTGCTTAGAGTGATGGTAAACAATTTTAAGCAGTATGTTAAACAGTAAACTTAATGCACATGTGTATTGAACTCCTTTCTTTATTATACAAAAGTATGAAATTCAGAAATTAAAATTCATAAATCATTTTTCTTATAGATTCTCTCTATATTTTATTTAAAAAACAAAAACAAAAAAAAAAAACGACACAATAATTAAGGGTTTTTTTATTATATGGAGGAGAAACCTCTTAACAGTGACATCTATGTAATATCAGACTGTAGAATCGGTCGGTCTTGCAGTCGAAAATTACATATTGAGACTTAATAAATAACAGCCAAGCTGACCAGCAGACCCCCGATTCGTCTGTGGAACTCCACCGTTAGTCACTTAATTTTTTAAATTGTTTATGCAAGTACAGAGATTTATCTGTATTATATTTAATGTTTAATTTTATTAACAATATAGATAATCGGATTAATCCACTAGCATCAGATACAATTTAAGACCTACCTGCACTACAAATGTCGAACAGTAACAAAAGGGGAATAACTGTAGATCTTAAGTAACCGATTTTTGTTAAAAGAATTTTGATTGGTGCAGAAGATGTATCTTAATCCAATGAAATTGTACCTTTTATTTCCACACCTTACAAATTATACAAGATGGCGACCAGACCGAAAAACAATAACAGTGTCTATATATAAAGTGAAATTTATATTGTTTATCTATTTAATATAGGTAAAATGTTCAACAGAGGGAAAGGGTGGCTGCCAAGCTTATTAGCAAAGCCGAAAAATCCGCATTCCTTAGAACATTTAAAGTAAGAAACAGAAAATTTAATTGACATTTTCATTGACAGGTGTCACCTGACAGCTTCTTTCTGAGTGACTAACATATTCGCAGTATCTATTCTAGGAGGGGGGATTGGTGATTCACTCATATTTTTGAGAAGTTCCCCCTATATTTTTCAGAGGCAGGGCCGCAGGGGGAAACTCTTACATAGAGAAAGAAAGTAAAAGATCAAGAAATGTATAATAAATTCTCACTTTTCGATAATTAACACTAAACCCCTGGCACCCACGTTCGGAATCCTAATATGAAACAAGGCAAAGCCTATGAACTAGGAAGTCTATCAAAAAATCGTTCATTTTTCCGGTTAAAGGTGTCATTCGGTATATTATACCCGTATATTATGCACCGCTTCCATTTTCATCCGGAATACCTGACGATTATTATTTATCCTTAAAGTTGAGATTGTTCGTTATCAGAATACCCACGTCTATTATCATTGAGTTACATTTAAAATGGTGGCGCCTGACTAGAACTGACACTGAAAATTTCATTGTTAGGTATAGAATTCTATATATTATTTAATTGTTTTTTATTTGATTTTATTTTAAATATACATGTGTAGTCTATAGTCGGGCAACGTAAATAACCAAGGTATATCGAGTGAAAAAATACATGTTGTTTCCCTTATCTTCGAGTAAAATCGATATCTCTTATGCTAAAACAATACAAATTAAGCCGTTTTTAAACTGCTATTTTGTTATGATTACATGTAAATGTCTGATTTTAAAATTCATTACACCAATGGAAAGCTATGGATCTTAGCTTCATCATTGTTTCACAGTATATACTTCAACACATCTTTTGACACAAAAGAATTTATATTAATCAACTGTTAAACCTACCATATATCAGATCATTTTAGATACGACGACCTTAACCACCCGGCCATGGACACCCCTACTCTTTCAGAACTATATAGTATATCGACTAGTCTTATAAACAAACGATGATTAAAACATCTGCATGATGCAATCTTTATTGTTATTCATTATATGTTTATATATACTAATTTTCAAAGTTTGTTATATTTCAGATATTTATACAACGTGTTATGTAAGAACCAGACTGTAACGGAGCAGAATCGTGTCCTGTTAGTGGAGACATTGCGATCTATATCGGAGATTCTGATTTGGGGAGACCAAAATGACAGCAGTGTGTTTGAGTATGTATAATTGTGTACTTTAAAAAGATAAGATGGTACAAATGAACATGAATTGTCTTTAAATTTTCAACGGAAAACTCCTGAATTTGTGAATGTTGGCAGGCAGCTGAGCATGAACAATTTATCCCTTGAGAAGTCTTCCGTAAATTTAAACTAAACTTTAAAAAAAAAAGATTGATATGATATGCCAATTCTCATATTATTGGGAATTTGTCATTTTTGGCAAGCAACTGCTTTTTGATGCTGTTTTTTCCCCCAAGCATATGTGTACAGTGATTTTTTTACCTTTGCATCCTGAGTCCAGAACTCAATGAATTTGCTATGGATGCAAAGTTTCAAATAATGTGCATCTTTTGGATGCATACTTTTTCTAAGTAGGGAGTCCTGTCTGACAGAAATTTGGTATTAAAATTAATACCAAATAGTGTTCAACTTATGTCAATCATATTCTAGGTCCAGCTAAGATATAATAATGTGCTATACTATAGGTAAGCTTAAAAATATTAAGGAAAATGAAGTTTTGATTAATATCAAACTAAATTAATGGAAATAAACATATTAAATTTATTTGACAGTTTTGAATAATTTCAGTATCAGAAGCATTGTAATTAATATAGAAATCAAATTCATTTTTTTCTCCATTCCATTGTTAATATACCTGTCATATCACTTAAGCAGTATTAAGATTTGTAACTTGGATTTGTCGGCTAAATTATGGGACTCATAGATTTATAGCCCAGCGAGTACTAAGGACCCACACTGATGAGTTTGTAAAAAAATCACTGGTGTATAATATGGCTGAAAATTTGGTTTTGTAATTATTTCCTATCACTTGTTGAAATTTGTTGCAATTAGAATAATGTGAGTCCATTTAGTATTTAGCATAATTTACTGTATGAAAATAATTTAATACTAAAATGTCCAAAAGATTAACTTGTATCCAAATCTTATAATAACACAGAAATAACCTAGATAGAACAACATTTGTTTAGTTATCCTAAACAGATTTCAATCATTATTTATTTGTTTTAAATGGTTGTAACTCTGTTACTCAAGCTATATAAGCTAGTTCCTTTGAAATTTTTTTCCAGGAGAATGAATGATGTCCCCTATGACATTTACCCTTATTATCTATAAAGATTTCATTCATTTATTCATTCATTCATTAATTCACTCATTTGTCATTCATTATGATGATTCATTTATCATTCATTCACTCATTTATCATTCATTCTCTCATTTATCATTCATTCTCATTTATCATTCATTCACTCATTTATCATTCATTCACTCATTTATCATTCATTAATTCATTTATTTATCATTCATCCATCCATTCATTCATTTATCATTCATTCATTCACTCATTTATTCATGGTCATTGCTGACGGGTTTTTTTGCTCACATCTCATGACAATGTATTGAAAGTTCAAAATATATTCTTCTTTTTTTTTGACAGCTTTTTCCTGGAGAAGAACATGTTGACATTCTTCTTGCGGTACATGAGACAGAAGTATGGACGTTTTATCTGTGTACAGTTACTACAGACATTGAATATACTATTTGAGAACATCAGTAATGAGACATCTCTGTGTAAGTTATCTCAAGGTTTCTGTAATATAAATCGCCACCAGTGCTGTTAGAGATAGAATATTATTACATAGTATAGACAAGAGGCAAAGTTGCTGTTGACTGCTTTGTTTCAGTAGTCTGATATTAAAATCTTTTAATTTTATAAAAGTTGTTGCAAAATCAAAGCAAGACAAGAAGTTTCCACAAGTTGATCTACCCGGTAGTCAGTGGATAAAGTTCTTGTGCAGTAAAGCTTTTCTGCTGTTACTTCTTTATTTTATCTACTTCAGTCTCAAAATATAAGTATGTTCTTTATCACCATTTTCATCTTATGTGATAAGTCTGAAAGCTCTTGCTCCAATATTTTCAGAATTGTCTCCCTGTAGTATGTGTACTTTGAATTTTCTTTAAAGACTGATATTTTCACTCATACTTAGAAATACTATGAAATACATGTTTCTTCTCATCAGAATATGTGAAAAAAGTTCATTAACTCTAGCTCCATTATTTTATACTATTCTCCACTTTGAACTTAGAATTTTCATTGAGAAGTGTTATTTTTCTCTAAGTTCTATATTCCATGAGGGATTGACTTTAATAAATAAAGAGTTATGAACAATCAAAAACATTTTTATTCCTTAAAAATGATTGTGTTATCTATGTTATTATATTTTACAGATTATCTTTTGTCCAATAACCACATCAACTCTATCATTGTACACAAGTTTGACTTCTCTGATGAAGAGGTAAGAACCAAACTTTATTATTTTCATTAATTTAGACAAAGTCTTATCAATTTTGGCTTTCTTTTATGAGATAATGAGATGTTTGGACCATAAAGAAAATTTATCTCTGTGCAATAATCATTATCCAGAGTGTTAGCCAAAGACAATATGAAAATGAAGATAAGGGCTTTTTTGCCACCATTTAAGTTCTCTAGCTACTGAGGCCTTACAGCAAAGGGTACCCACCTTGTTGCTTGTCAACCACAGTAGAGCCACTCCCCTTAGCTTCAGATTAGATACCAGCAATAAACCATCAACAATCAGGGTGAATTTTTTCTCTACTTTTGTGGTGAATTTGAAAATGTGCCTGTGCCTTGTATCTTCTCATTGACATACAAGTTTTGAAGGGAAGAGAGGAGTGTTGAAGGTTTAGTTTATGATAAGTGTATATATGTATATAGTTTACTAAGGTATTGGTTAATTGGTAAAGTGTCATTTTGCTTGTAGGAGACCACATGTTCAATTCTCACCTGGTCATACAACAGACCATGTTCAAAATCATACTAACAGTATCCTTGTTTTGACACATGGTAGTTTTTGTCTTCCATATAATTATGACTGTGTTGAAAGGTGTTTTAATTCTCAGAAACATGGTCACTTTTAGAAACAGTTGTAAAGATACATGTAATGTGATTTGTAGATGTTGACTGAATAAGTGTCACATGTTTAGCTCTCAGCCTCCTTGTGTCAGCTGATTCTATCATGCAATCAGTGCAGACCAAGATCAGCTGGCACATCTGTGTCGTGTCATCTGATCATGTCTACATTGTTACCTATTCTGTTATTATTTTGAAAATTTTCCTTAAAACTATGAATGGTTTAGTCCAGATTGTAAGTTGGTCAAGTCTGTTAAAGATATTTACCAGAATATTGGTTAATGTTAGATTACATATGAGCCGCGTCATGACAAAACCAACATAGTGGGTTTGCGACCAGCATGGATCCAGACCAGCCTGTGCATCCGTGCAGTCTGATCAGGATCCATGCTGTTCGCTATCAGTTTCTCTACTTGTAATAGGGTTTGTAAGCGAACAGCATGGATCCTGATCAGACTGCGTGGATGTGCAGGCTGGTCTGGATCCATGCTGGTCGCAAACGCACTATGTTGGTTTTGTCATGACGCGGCTCATATATTTATACAGGTAATATGAGAATGATAAACATGTATATTATAATTATTACAGGTGATGGCGTATTACATATCCTTCTTGAAGACTTTGTCTCTGAAGCTGAATAAACACACCATACATTTCTTTTACAACGAAGTAAGTATAAACATATATAAAACAAGAAATTTGATAATCTATCACTGTCATAATATTAGTAAAAATTAAAATTAACTGATGATTCTCATATTTTTTCCCCTTTCCTGCATTTTTTTTTCAGAAAGAATGAATAGTTATAGAACTTATTTAATAATTTCCTACAGAAAGCATTTGGTGTGCTTAAGTATTTATTTCTTATTGAATAATACTTTGTGTATTACATTTAAAAAGACCTTTTCTCTTAATTTTTTCTGAAGTTAGCATAAGAAGCTTTACTATAAAAAGTCTTGATTTGTAAATATATTATCAGTAGTGAATAAACACATAGTAAAACATTATTGTGTTAATGTTTATGTATGATAATTACCATGTTTCAGCACACCAATGATTTTGCCTTGTACACAGAGGCAATAAAATTCTTCAACCACTCGGAGGGTATGGTCAGAATTGCTGTAAGAACTATCACACTTAATGTTTATAAAGGTAACTTATTTATTTATGTTTTGTTCTCATGTATTTGTATGTCTTTGTCAATATTAAATGAGGTGCATATTGGATCTGTATTTAATGTTGACCTCAGTTGAAGAGTTGCTAGATTTCTTTGTTAACCACTTACCTCTTACTGATTCAGAAATAAAAGCAAACTCAACATTGTGAATTAGGCATCCAGTTAGCTGATAGGACTGTGGCTCAACCTATATGCTAAGGTTGTTGACTTCAAACCACTTGCCCTTCATCACTGTGGGTTCTTATCCTGACAGGGACTTTGGGCTAGCTTATGGAATATTGGTGGCTCTACTCAGGTGCCCTGTTATGCCTGAAATAATTCATGGAATGGCAAAACCCAAATTAAAGAGAACTTAATTTTAGCTTAGTCAAGTTTCAAATTATTGCTGCTTTACTTGAGATGCTATTGAGTTAAGATAATTGAAGAGTAAGGACAATATTGCTTAACAGTAATGCTAGTATTGTTTCATATGATACTGGCATTTGTATTTTTTGGACCCTAATAGATACAAGAATGCCCAGGTTCATTAAACAACTGGGTATACTATTTGCTGCAGATGACAGGGGAAAAATCATTAGTAGTAAATATCTACATTTGTTTGTTCTATGTTTTACTATACATGTATATTTTCTCAATTGCTTAATAAGTTATTAACACATCAGATAAGTAAACTAAGCATCGCTAAGCAAGCCATTGTTTCATTAAGTAAAAACCTTCACAATCAATGCTCAGTACTGGTTGGTTCCAGAAACGGATTCAAGAGTGTGTCTAAAAACTTGAACTTCCAGGACAATTGAAGTTTGAACTGAAATAAATTCAGAAAAAGCGGGATATAGGAGATGCAAAACGACCAACACCAGGGTAGGTTTAACTGCTTTTAATAATGGTCTACCGGTTTCGGTCTCACTATAGACCTTCTTCAGTATAATAAATTCAGTATAAACCAATATGTGTTGTGTTTTTTTCTCACTAATTTTCGTATATTAATTTTTCAGTACAAGATGGAGCTATGTTAGGGTATATTAGAGACAGGACAGCTGCTCCGTATTTCTCTAACCTTGTATGGTTTATTGGTAACCATATACTTGATCTAGATATCTGTGTTAGAAATGATACTGAGTAAGTAACATGAAATATATGTCATACATTTTGACTACTGATGTTTTTATTCTGATTTTGTTGATATAGTACTGCTTTATCTAGAATGTCTTTTCCAAATTTTTATAACCTTGATTTATTTGAAGAGATTTGGATTAAATTTTAACAAGTTATTGTAACAAATTAAATTATTGTTTCATGTTTATGCCCCCACAAAGTGGGGGACATATAGCGTTGCACTTGTCCGTCCGTCTGTCTGTACGTCTGTCCGACCGTACGTCCCGAAATCTTGTGAACACAACTCCTCTTAAACTGGATGGCAGATTTTGCTTAAACTTCCAGGGATGAACAACCTTAATGTGTAGATGGTAGGAAAGGAAGGAATTTTTGCTGCGACCAAATTTAACAGAATTATGGCCCTTTGTTGATTTTTTCACTATATAGAAATTTTGTGAACGCAACTCCTCTTAAACCGGATAGCAGATTTTGCTTAAACTTCCAGGGATAAACAACCTTAATGTGTAGATGGTAGTAAAGGAAGGAATTTTTGCTGCGACCAAATTTATTAGAATTATGGCCCTTTGTTTATTTTTCACTATATACTATATAGAATTTTTGTGAACGCAACTCCTCTTAAACCGGATGGCAGATTTTGCTTAAACTTCCAGGGATGAACAACCTTAATGTGTAGATAGTAGTAAAGGAAGGAATTTTTGCTGCGACCAAATTTAACAGAATTATGGCCCTTTGTTGATTTTTTCACTATATACTATATAGAATTTTTGTGAACGCAACTCCTCTTAAACCGGATGGCAGATATTGCTTAAACTTCAAGGGATGAACAACCTTAATGTGTAGATGGAAGTAAAGGAAGGAATTTTTGCTGCGACCAAATTTAACAGAATTATGGCCCTTTGTTGATACTAGATGTATAAGTTGTCAGTGGCCCTTTGTTGATTTTTTCACTATATACCATATATAAGTTGTCAGTGGGGGCATCCATGTCCTTTAGACACAGTTCTAGTTTTCTTCAGTCTCATTTATATGAGTGTTACATAATAAACATCTTTTCATCTTTTGTCAATGATAAATAATGAAGGATCTGCTTTCAGCTAGATATTGATTATCAATTATTTTGATTATAATGAAAAAGTCTTTCATATTAAGAATTCCTCCCAATTGTAGAAAAATTTAAGTCTGGATTGTTATAGACCAATGAGCTCATGATAGGCTGTGATTGTAATGAACTGAGTCCTGAAGAGTGTATAGAATCCTGTAGATAACAGTAAATATCAACATACTCCTGCAAAAGACATGTTGTCTGTTCATTTCATTGGATTCGTTAAAAGTTTGCCAAGTTTTGATGCATGCTTATATATATGTTATAATTATATTCTTCTATATTTTTACATTACATTACATTTTAGTCACAGAAGTAGAGGAAGATTGGGGACGTTGGTAGCGGAACATTTAGATCATCTACATTATATCAATGATATATTGTTAATCAACATCGATACACTGAACGATGTAATGTCAGACCAGCTTCTCAATCGGTTACTTATACCACTGTATGTCTACTCTCTAACCAAGAGAAAACGTCATGATCTTAGAAAGGTATTGTTAAATAATTTTCTCGTCACACGGCCGATTTGTTACAGTGACATAATATAGAGTGAGACTAAAAAAGGATTGGAGCACAGCACTAAATACCGTATTCTGGTACAAGCTTGAATGATTAAATGCTAAAATCTCGCCTTTACACCTTCTGGAATGAACTTTAAAAGCTCTAATTCATCTTTTCACACGATTTATATACAATAATGAATGAAAAATGTAAAAATCGACGGGAAAATTTGATATTTGTCTATTTTGTGATCATAATTTCTGCAAGCGTCTAGAGGTACTGCTCCAATCCAGTATTGAGTGAAATCCCATTAAGGTATTGTAAAATAATTTTCTTGCCCCATGGTCTTTGTCCCATATTTGTTATAGTGACATAATATAATGGGAAACTTTATTTAAAACTCTTGCATGAAGCATTGGCTAGTGGACCATAACTAACTTATCATCTCCAAAGGTTGAATAATGGTAATTTGACACTCTAGTATAATCTAGGGGTTACAGGTATGATTCTATCTCCACAACTTACAATGCTAATGCTCTTGTTTATCAGACCTTCAAAACAAAGACCCCATGCATGGGTGCTCAACACCCAGCATAAAAAATAAACCAGGGTCATCTGTTAAATAGGGCAACTTTTGTATTTATTTATTATTTTTAAAAAAATAGAGCAAATAACTGTCTCCAGAAGGCAACACAGGTATGGGCAGCAAACAAAGTGTTGCTGTAAATAAAACTAAAGAAAAAACCTGTTTTACATATAACTGTTGAATGTTTATCATACTGATTGTAAGAATTTCTGTTTATTTTCAGAGTAACAGGAAGTATGTTAGTTCAGTAGTCTCCCTTTTCTTGCTATCACAGGTAAAATATACTGTCTTTATGAATAATATTACTGTAATGCTAAATGCTTACTGTATATTTATTGTAAATATTTTAGCTTTATTATTGATGACTGTCTATTAAACAGGATTATGACTTTTTGACTGATGATAATCTCTGACATTTTGTTAAAGAAGCTTCACTTAGGTCCAATGTCTAAAAACAAACCAATCTGAATGCTTGCATAGGTTAGCTGTGTCATCTTAAGGGTCATTTTAAAAGGAAAAATATACACAAGATGATAAGAAATACACTATGAAAAAAATTGATTTTTTATGACTTTCTTAGCCTAATTTAAGTCATAACCAGAAACAAAAAAAAAACAAACAAAAAAACAACTTTAATTTTTTGGGTTATTTTGTGCAATAAAAAATGGTTATTCTGAAATAAGAGAGTATGCAAATGATTGGTCCAAGCTTACACCAAATGGTACATAAATCTGAGGAACATCTCCAGTCTTTTTTATTTCAAAAAAAAAAACCTTAGAAGTAAAATATACATGTAATAAGATATGTGTGGGAAAAGTTAAATTTTATTCGTTTTTTGTAAAATTATTTTATTAATGACATCATTTACAGGTGTTTTTGATAATACAACATGGTCGCCTGGTGCGACAGTTGGCGGAGATTATATTTCAAGGTGAAGTCGAACCGATACGACAAGATGAACAGACTTCTGATTCTCCTAGAATGGTATGGGTAATGTTTCTCTTTTCTTTAGTTGATTAATTGCCTATATATAGTTTTTACTTTTAAGCCATTTGTTTATACCTGGAGTAGAATTTGATCAGTTTAGCTGATATAAAATTAAATAGAATATTAGTTAACTAAAGGAAAAACAATTATTTTATTGACCTTAAATATTAGAACTGACACAGGGCAAGGAGAATAGTAAATTTCCCTTTTATTATATCAAAAGTTTTAGAATGCATCTCTTCTTTTCTCCAAAGACCCTCTTTGACTGTCTGAGCATTTATTTAACATTAGGTATTACTTTGTTTGCACTTCTTGTGAATTACAGATGTATGTAGTGTTTGAGAGACAAAAACAAATCATCACTGAAATGTGGTGAAAGAAAAGCAAAAAAATTAGAAAAAATAATGTTGAAATCCATCAAAATTATTGAGTGCAGCTTTTGAAAATATTAATTCAATAAGATTTGAAAATAAAGTTCTGAGAAGATAAAACACCTGAACTAGAGGAGCTACTTTTTCTGGTTACATTTTTGTCTTGGCAAAACCACTTAAAATCCAAACATATTTATACAAACAATTTTTTTCAAGTTTCTCTTTAATATTTTGTTCAAGTGCAAGTTCATTAATGAATTAACAATAAATCAATTGTAATTTCAGCTTATACGTGAATTTGCTGCCCCTGATGAGACTTTAGAAGAAACTCTTGGAACTAGTCGAGGATTGCGGCCTCGTAATGAATCCATTCGAGTTAGAGAAGGTAACTCCACATTCTACAGGAGAAGTGATGTCCAAGGTGAAAATGTCACCGGTATGTGACATAAGCCTTCACTTTCTGCCTGCAACTCCATCACTGTTCCTTTATTTCCCTTTTTCACACAGCTTTTTTGTGTAATCATTTATATCAGCGACAACTTTTAAAAATTTTCTACTCCCAATTTATCTATGTTTTTTGTTGTTTTTTTGTAAATTTACAAACTATGTTTTTGAATAATATTGAGTTCCGGTTGATAGTCTGTCTGTGGCCAAGTGGTTAAGGTTGTTTACTTCAAACAGCTTGCCCCTCACCACTGTAGGTTTAAATCCCGCTGGGGACTTTGGGTTCTTTCATGTGAAGAAGCTATTCAGTTAGGTTATGAAACATTGATGGCCAAACTCAGGTGCCTGAAACAATGCATAGAGGGGCACCTGAAGTCTTCTTCCACCTGTTACCATATGACTTCTGCTGTGTTGGTGCCACATAAAAAAGCAAACTTAAAAAAAATATATATATATACAGTCAAACTTGTATTCAGCGACTGCGCAAGGGAAACACCCAAAACGGTTGCTTAATGAAACGGTCTCTTAAGACAAAGCATTATAAAAAGTCAAAATTTATACATGACATCTTTCTTTTGCGGTGGGAATGTTTTTCAACTTCCTTTATATAAATGTTTAATAATTAGAACGCTCCGATAATCTAAATGGATGCTAATGTAAAAAAATAGCTTTCTGATATTTATTGACAAATCAGTTTTGATCCATTACGTACATGTTTGACATTTTTTCAGAATTTTTAAACTTCTCCTTATATTTCCTTGTCTCAAACATAAAAACCCTGATAATTGAAGCTTTTTCTGTTGTGCATTTTTCATTTGAAATAAACAAACTACATCTGATTGTAACAATTAATTTAATTGCTGATCAGTTCAAGGTCAATTCAATGCAGTCTAAATATCAACAGCTAAGCGTATACACCATCTGAGTAGGGGCGGAGCGTTGCATTGTTTTATCATTATTGGATAATACACGTCACACGTACACTTACCTTTACTTGCATACACTAAAACGGTTTGGGAAATAGAGTTTTTCACACATTTATATATTGTGTTTTGATTGTTGACACTTGTGACATTACGAGGCGACGTTCTCTAAAAACACAATTACTTGACAGGTAAAAGTGGTCGTTTAATGAAAAGATTGATCTCAATTAGCTGACTAATTAGCAGTTGTTGGTCGCGTTGAGCAAAAGTTGCTTAATGCATTAAAGATATAGGGAGAAAATGAACGGGGGGAATTGAAAGTGGCCGCATAAGACAAAAGTCGCTAAATACACGTGGTCACATGTGCAAGTTAGACTGTATATATATCAAATGGATCTCAGGAAATTAGAATATTGAAATACCATTTCATCCCTAATCCCACCTCGCGACCCCTTTTAAATTCATGCAGAGGTTACTTTTATACTTAATATACTTAATTTACTTATGGCTGCCAGATCTTACATGGAAGTAAGAACATTACATAAGTAGTTGATAAAGCCGCATGTCAAAAATTGAGAAGCTGTATAAAGTGATTTTTTGCTTGACCATTCAAAGAATAGGGATAGCTGAGCCTATTGTACTCATCTTAGCTTAAGCAGTCACACTTTCATTAAGTTTTTGTGCTCAAGTTAGTATCTCCAAAACTAGGAAATGAGTTGAAACTTCACATACATGTATTTGTTCTCTGTGATTATCTTTGTCCCTATGACTCCTGAGCTATGTTTTATGTAGCAGAGTTATGTCCCTTTTATTACTGTTGAACACTGAGAATAGTTGAACACACTGTCATAGGACAGCCATTGTTCTTTCACACACAGAAATGGTTGTACCCCTCAAAATAAAGGAATATGATTTCAAATTTCTTGCCCCTCACCACAGTGAATTGTTACCCTAATAGATGTGATAAATGTTTTACATGAATAAGCTATCAGCAAGCTTGACGAAATCAAGATACCAAAGTGCCCTGCAGTTTCTGGAATACAGGGAAGATGACACGTTATTTTCTCCTCATCAGTGGTGGATGAAAAGTTGTCATTTGACATTTTTAGTATAGGTTTGACATAAAAAAGCTTTAAATTTGTACTATGACCATATATCTTAGGTTTGACAGAAACTTTACCGAAAAAAAAAAATAATTAAAACAATGAAATATTTGTTATAAAATTTTATATTCTCTCTCATCTGCGCAAATTATATGTATACAAAAAGCTTTTGATGTTATTTTAACTGTTTTGCTTTTTTTATAAGATGTTTTACATTTATGTTCCACTTCTTGTTTCTACAGTAATTGGATTATTTCCCTTTGTCTAGAGTGATTTCTATTTCTTTGTATATACATGTATTTGTTTTGCATGAACTGTCCAATTCCCACAAATTTTTAAAATGTATGTTTTTCAGTTTTTTCTTTGTTTTAATATATATATTTCAACATAATGGTTCAATGTCATTTAATAAGCTTTTTGGAAGTTGAAATTCGATCTGCTGATCAATTTTTGAATGATTCAAACTTTAAATTGATTATATAAGGATTTTAAATAAAATGCATAACACTTTGTCAAAATCTTTAATATGCTTAAAAAAGTTTGCAACTAACCCTCTTTGCAGTTATTTGTGTGCATTGGTGAAAATACCAAGAAAAATAATTCTGAGGGAATAATTTGATCTATGAAATCTCTAGAAGGTTCGTAATAACTTATCAAGTATAGGTTCTGTGCTACATCTATTTTGCTATACATGTACTTGTATTAGAAATGCTAAGTGTTTCAGCATTTGAAGATTTTATTTCAGTGTGTATTGTACATAAACATGAGGTAAAATGGCAAAAATATAAATAAAATACATGACTACAAAGGACATCATTCATTTAAAGAAATTTAGCCATTTTGCAATGTTCAATTTAATGTATAACAAACATTTCAGAATATAAATTATGGTGAAGATTTAGGAATATAAATAAGATTTCAGATAAAATATAAAAAGTATCAACCTTTTTTTAAGTTTACAATTTTTTAAAACTATTTAGTGCCCATTAACCTGTTCCTTAGTGTGTTCTTGCATCATACAGTGAAACTTGTGTTAAACACCACCTCTAAATAAAGATAACCCTGCAGATAAAGACCACTTTTTCATACATGTATTTCTTCGATAAAATTGAATAAATTAACTTCCAACCAAAGACCACTTGTCAGTTAAGACCATTATTTATCTCTCTCTTTGGTGGCCTGTATTCACAGGTTTTACTGTATATATAAAATTTCAGGTACCATGTTACATAAATGATTATTCACAAGCTAGGAAATGTCATTCTACATTGTGTAAAATGTTAAAAAAATAAACATTTATGTAAATCATCACAGTTTGACATTTCAAATCTCAGATGATGCACAAACAAAATATTTGGTAGCTTGTCATTTGTAAAGAAATATTATCCTCTTTACTGCATGCATCAAGTTGTATGCTCATTTATTTCAGTCAGGTTACAATTACATAACAACATGAGGTAAATGTACATTTAATACCTCAATTGTAAATGTTAGTGATGTCTCCATGTTTAGTATTTTGACACTATCATATTAGCAAAAACTTATATATGAAAACAAATATGGGTTATGTGATAACATATGTTTAAAATGATTTACTAGTAAATAGGGTGTCTGTACTGTAATATTTATGATAATTATAGGTGATTTATTTATATAGAGTAACTCTTATTAAATGCCCTAGATTTGATCATCATGATATTATAAAATGTATGTCAAAATCTATAGAAGTATTTCATTACAACAAAAAATAAGATTGGACTTAAAACAACGTTAAAAACATTCAGAGGTAACATTTCCTTGGTGGAAGTTAACTCTTAATTTTCTGTACATCCCTGCAGTATGATCAGGCTCTATACTATTGGCAGCCCAATTTATGTGTTTTGCTATAGAAATCCCTTAAACTTGGAATGAACTGGTCTAAATTCAAAGCTGGGCAAATCCATTTCACAAATTCATCAGGTTAAGGGTTAATACTGTACCATTTATAATCTAGTTTTGAGGTTTTAACCCTAACTATGCTGAAAATTATATAATGGAATTCGAATTTGAAACTTTTGTTTGTTTACATGACTAACTTTTACTTCAAAAATGCTAAAATAAAAGGTCAACGGTACTTTGAGTTACATTACTTAATGGGCATGAAATTTAGAGGTTTTGTCAATAAAGATATTTTGTGGCGGCATGGCCGAGTGGTTAATGCGTCAGACTAGTAATCTAATGATCGCTAGCTGCATGGGTTCAAACCCAGTCTGAGGGGCAAGTCTTTGTTTCCAAACTTTACACTCATTGCTCAGTATTGGTTGGTTCCAGGAAAGGATTCGAAATAGTGTCTATAAGCTTCTAGCTTCCTACACAATCAAACTAAAATAAAGTGACAACTGAGAAAGGTAATAGTAGCATGATCTGTAAAATAGATTTTTTACTTAGACCCTGCTACATTTATCATTGGTTTAACTATATACATTACAGAAACTGGTGCTTCAGGGGACCAGGATGAAGTCTTTGACGATTCTGTGCCATCACAAAATTCCACAGACGAGGAAAAAATATTGTCAACACGTAGCCAATCATTGAGAATGGGAGGCGGGACCTCACCTACACTTGGATCATTTTCATTGGATAATAGGTAAAGTGTTATAAAATTATATCACAAAACATTGACCTAAGTGCAATGGTATGCATGTTTGAGAGATTTAAATTTTAGAAATTTTACTTTTTAGCTCACCTGTCACAAAGTGACAGGGTGAGCTTTTGTGATCGCTTTTCGTCCGGCGTCCGTCCGTCCGTAAACTTTTACTTTAAATGACATCTCCTCATAAACCACTAAGCCAATTTCATCCAAACTTCACAGGAATGTTCCTTTGGTGGTCACCTTTAAAAATTGTTCAAAGAATTTAATTCCATGCAGAACTCTGGTTGCCATGGCAACCGAAAGAAAAAACTTTAAATATCTTCTTTTAAAAAACCATAAGAGCTAGAGCTTAGATATTTGGCATGAAACATCTTCTAGTGAGTGTCTACCAAGTTTGTTCAAATAAAAGACCTGGGGTCAAAATTGGCCCCGCCCCGGGGGGTCATTGATTTTCCCTATATGCATATAGTAAAAACTTAAAAAATCTTCTTTTAAAGAACCCAAAGAGCTAGAGCTAAGATATTTAGCATGAAATATGTTCTAATGGGTGTCTACCAAGTTTGTTCAAATTAAAGCCCTGGGGTCAAAATTGGCCCCGCCCCGGGGGGTCATTGATTTTCCCTATATGCATATAGTAAAAACTTAAAAAATCTTCTTTTAAAGAACTCAAAGAGCTATGGCTAAGATATTGAGCATCAAACATGTTCTAATAGGTGTCTACCAAGTTTGTTCAAATAAAAGCCCTGGGGTCAAAATTGGCCCCGCCCCAGGGGGTCATTGATTTTCCCTATATGCATATAGTAAAAACTTAAAAAATCTTCTTTTAAAGAACCAAAAGAGTTAGAGCTAAGATATTTAGCATAAAACATGTTCTAATAAGTGTCTACCAAGTTTGTTCAAATAAAAGCCCTGGGGTCAAAATTGGCCCCGCCCCGGGGGGTCATTGATTTTCCCTATATGCATATAGTAAAAACTTAAAAAATCTTCTTTTAAAGAACTCAAAGAGCTATGGCTAAGATATTTAGCATCAAACATGTTCTAATAGGTGTCTACCAAGTTTGTTCAAATAAAAGCCCTGGGGTCAAAATTGGCACCGCCCCGGGGGTCATTGATTTTCCTTATATGTGTATAGCAAAAACTTAAAAAATCTTCTTTGAAAAAACCCAAATAGCTAGAGTTAAGATATTAAGCATGAAACATCTTTTAGTGAGTGTCTACAAAGTTTGTTCAAATAAAAGACCTGGGGTCAAAATTGGCCCCACCCCGGGGGTCATTGATTTTCTTTATATGTGTATAGCAAAAACTTAAAATCTTCTTTGAAAAAAACCCAAATAGCTAGAGTTTAGATATTAAGCATGAAACATCTTCTAGTAAGTGTCTACAAAGTTTGTTCAAATAAAAGCCCTGGCCCGGCCCCAGGGGTGTCATTGTTTTTAACTATATGTGTGTAGTAAAAACTTTAAAAAAAACTTCTTTTAAAAAGCCCAATGAGCTAGAGCTTAGATGTTTAGCATGAAACATCTTCTTATGGGTGTCTACCAAGTTTGTGCAAATAAAAGCCCTTGGGTTAAATTGGCCCTGCAACGTTGGGGGGGGGGGGGGGGGCCTATATACAGGTGAGCGACCTCAGGGCCATCATGGCCCTCTTGTTACTGTTCTCTCCAATTTGTTTTACCACAAAAGTTTTTTTAAGTGATTTTTTTCATTGCATTTATTTGATGCTCAACACTGGCTGATCAGAAATGTAAATTGCATTTTTAAGTAATGTTAGATTGGTTAAACACTAATGTTTGATGTTTTTAAGTTTTTGATAACTATTTAGTACAGAGATATCTGAAATATAGGAATGTACATTTTGATTTGTATGAGACTAGGTTACATGATAAATTGGTAAGATCACAATGATACAGTTTAGGTGAGCCACCATTATATTCATAGTTTGGGCTGTGACCACTACATTTATCTTTGACTATTGTAGGCCGTATCTAGAAGCTATCTTTCATGCTCTAGAATGTACAGAGAATGACTATGAAGCCTTGTTTGCTCTTTGCCTGCTCTATGCCATGGGACATAATGAAGGTATTGATTATTTTCTTTACACATATGTCAGGAGTCAACACAAATGTAATCCATATGTTGCATATACATTTAGAAGACATATGGATTTGTTTGTATAGTGACTCCTTGATTTCTGTTTTCTTAAGCCATAGCTTTTATTCTTACTCATTTCACTAATTTCTGTGTTGCTGCACACTTATTTATCATCTTAGTTTTGTTAATGCTTAGGCTAGAGAAGATGATGTTTGGGCTAAGGTTTATGGAAGCTTCTGAACATGCAAGGAAAATTATTGCTTTGGAAAGGAGAGATTGTGTTTAAACAAGAAATTTATATATCCCGCTTTTTCTGTGTTTTAAGAAATTTATTAGTTAGGAAAACTAAAACTTTGGCAAAGAAAGCTTTTAGTGTTGGAAATTCAACTCTTAGGCAAAGAAAACTATTTTTAGGCAAAGAAAACTAACTCTTATGCTAGGAAAGTTAACTATTAGACAAAGAAAACTAATACGTAGGCAAAGATAGAAAATTCTTATGCTAGGAAAAGTAACTCTTAGGCAAGAAAATATATTTAAGTCTGTGAAAATTTATACTTATGCAAAGAAAGCTATATTTTAGGCTAGAAAAGCTTTCTCCTTGGTAAAGAAAGGAAAATCGTTCTGTTTGGCAAATTAATTTAAAGATTCAGAAAGAAATTGGTTAGGCATGGAAAGCCTATGTTTAACCCTAACCATGCTAAATATTTTAAATCAACTTTTCCATCATTCAATTTGGACCTTACCATTCATTATCAACTACTGACTGAATAGCAAACAATGCAGACCATGATCAGACAGCATGGATGTGCCAGCTGATCTTGGTCTGCTTTGGTCAAAAAATAAAAACCTGTTGCTGCCGGTAAGCAAGAAAATGTTAATATTTATATTTTGAGAGAAGCTCAGATTTAGGCTAGGGGAGCTCTTTAATTTGTTATATATGATAAGTCAGTAAGGCTTCACTTGTATATCAGGACTATTTTAACTGTGAGCTTTGTGAGGTATAGACTGAAAAGAATTGCAATTAAACATAAATAATGATGAACTATAAGACAAGTATTTCTTATTTTCATTTTACACTTAGATTGTAGTACGAGGGTTGTTCGGAAAGTTTTGAGACAATATGATTTTCTCTGTTTCTAATTACAGCTGCGAATATTATTTAATACAAATTATAGCTTAATATGTTATTTATCCGAGTTATGTCTTAAAAACGTTGTAACGTTACTATACGGCATATAATCGTTTCCATAGCAACACCTGTCTACGCATCCTGGCGCACGGACTATTTTCTTGTTATAAGTTTTCTTACTGAATAAAAAGAGCCCCTAAAATTGCGCCAAACGTCACGAAAATTTTATGACGTCACTTCCAACTTAAGGACGTCATTTCCGCTAGTTGTTTAAGCCGTTACCGCAGATCATTATAGCAATACGTGCGCGACAAGACAACGACTATGGAAACACTGTCAAAAGAGGAACAGCCTGTTTTTATTAAGTTTTGCGTTAATCTTGGGAAAACGCCAACAGAAACTAAGCAACTTCTAGAACAGGCAAACAACGGACGTACTGTTAGTCGACCATTGGTATTTAGATGGCATAAAGAGTTTCGGGATGGCAGAAAGTCAACAAAAGACAAGGAAAGGAGCGGTCGCCCATCCGTCATCGACGATAAACTGACACTTGCAAGAAACGCGCTTCAGTGCGACCGTCGCATAACAGTAAGAGAAGTTGCAGAAGTTTGTGATGTAGGTACGGCAACTGCTCACAAAAATGTTAACTGAGACACTTGCAATGTCTCGGGTTTCGGCCCGTTGGGTACCGAGATTATTGACGGCTGATCAGGAAGAAAACCGAGTAAAAGCATCTCGACAGTTTCTACGTTCATACCAGAGAGAAGGCGACGCGTTCTTAGACAGAATTATTACCACCGACGAGTCCTGGTTTTACTACTACGACCCAGAAACAAAGTCGCAGTCTTCAGTTTGGAAGCACACGTCGTCTCCACCCCCGAAGAAAGCACGTGTAACCAAATCCGTTGGGAAACATATGTTTATTCTATTCATGGACCGGAAGGGGATGCTGTTAACACATGCTGTACCAAAGGGAGAAACGGTGAACGCTGACTATTACTGCAGGGTGAGTAATTATGTTAACTTTATTTAACATGAAAATAATTAAAAATAAATATATAAATAATATAGATAATTAAATTGATTACTTACTTAATTATTAAAATAATTATTTGAAATTAATTCACCTGTATCTGTATTAAGTACGAGCTCCGATATTTCTGTTTAAGGTAATCAGACGGGAACTGATCAACGCTATCCGTAAGAAGCGGCTTGAAATGCTTGCGAATCTGGAGAACATCTACCTACATCAAAACAATGCGCCTGCGCATACAGCATCTGCCACTTCTCTGGAACTTGATGTTCTCGGGTTTAACCGCATCGCTCACCCACCCTACTCACCCGACCTGGCCCCAATGGACTTTTCCGTTTTTCCGGCCATCAAATCCGAACTACGAGGAATCCGGTTTGAGGACCTAGTTGAACTGCGCTCTAGAGTTATGAGCATTATTGCAACATTTAAATCTGACTGGTATAGAAATGTATTCGCCAAGTGGGTTACGAGGCATGAGAAATGTGTACGTTGTGAAGGAAGATACTTTGAAAAGGAGTAGCAGTTGACTTTTCTACTGTGACGTTAAACTCTGGAAATAATGGCAACGTTGGATACTCGTTGCGTGCGCCGGGTCACCGGTAGTGTCTGTGCCTAACGCTTTGTAGCTTTTGTATACATGAAGCTATTGTTATGAAATTTTACACTATAATAGATGAGGTATTAAAGTAATACATAGTAAACTCTTGTTTGATTTTATCTTTTCCAACGCTAAATATTGACCCAGTCTCAAAACTTTCCGAACAACCCTCGTATATCTGATAAATGGTTAAAGATCAAAAAAATTAGTAATGAAATAGCATTACATTTACATTTGTAGAAATTTGATAATACCTAAAGTAGATGTGAATTTGTTTGTAATTTATCATTTACAGTCTTTATTTTGTTGTTTTTTTTTATATATTTTTTTCTCAAAATAAGCTGTCAGTTTATATAGAAATTGGGCAAATCACATATGGAAAGAGAATGAAATATACTTTATCAGTTGAGAGCTTGAAGTCTTTTACTGAATTCTTGAAACTCTTGCAATTTTGTTTCTAAATGTTTTTTTTATTAAATTTAGATAGATTTAAAAACGAAAGCTTAACCTATCTTTTACAAGCAGATATCTTTCTTTTTTCTACCTTTAACAATGGATTGTAATAGCCTGTATACTTATTTTCCAGACAGAAAAGGGTTTAGACATTGAAATAATTCTTCAAACATTGATAATAAAATTAATCTAGCTTTTAAAACAAACATGTTGTTTATTTCTTGCCCTGCTTACAGAAGGTGGGTAGTGTATATTGGTATTGTTGTTTGTATCTGTTGTAACTTGTTGTTTATATACATATATGTTGTTTTATGTTAATGATTTTTACAATGTAATTGAAACTTTGGGTTATTTTTAGATGCTTTTTTTACAAGTATATTTTTGTCTTATTATCTTTTTGTTTTATCATTAATTATTATAAGATATATATTATTATAAGATATTCGAATAAAATGTCATGAAAATCACCCAAAGTTGTCCTAAGTTAACTGCAAGGTATTTTGTAGTAAATATTTTGTTATTATGAAATTTAGTTTCACTGTCTATGTGTGTTTTGTGTTTATTTTCTTTTTTTGTATAATTTCATGTGAATATGAACATTTCAGATAGTTAAGTATTTGTGCCAGTTGACATGTCCTATAAACATACCTGCTGATTCTGTATAATAGATTTGCCCTCATTTGAATTTTGAACAGTCCGTTCTAAATTTTAGAGGTTTTGATAACAAAATACAAAAAATTAGTTACCAAAAGTATGAAGCATATGGTCAGACTGAATGGATGTGCAAGTTTGTATGGCTCTATACTGGTGGCAATTGCACAAATGAAATGTTGTTGTTGTTGTTTTTTAGGGGTTGTTTTGCAATACATATATTTGATTTTGTTTCACCATTTGATCATTCCTTTGTAAAATTGAGGAGATTATAAAAAAAATGATTTTTAGTTTGATTTTTTTTTTTGCATCCTCGGTTTTCACCAAAATAGTGTTATATAAACTAAGTCCCTGTGTGTTGTTATTATAAGAATATTTATATTTTATACCCAATTTATTTGATATTTAATTTGAAGCCTCTAGTTTTAATTATGCTTGAGAGTATCAATATTTAATTTAAGTTCACAAAAATATTACTAAATATAATTGGTACTCTTCTAGCTATTTTCTGTTTATTTAATTTTTTGAAAGAGGATAATTATATTTTCATAATGAAGTTTTAAATTGAATTTAGGTCCATTTCTTAAACATTTCAAAGATGTTCACTTCCAGCTTGGTAAAGCTATTTACCATTTACAAATTTTACAAATTTGTGGAATGTAATTTTTTTTAACTGCCTTATTAGAGGGTATTTGTATTATAAATAAGATTATCAAGAATAAGTTGTCTTCTATTGAAAATATAATTCCAACATTTTCAATATTTCATACTGATCTGATAGTGTTTTCATTTCACCTATCAAACTATGTTTTAATATGTTTATTGTTATATTTCAGGTATCCATACAGGGTTGATGGATTCAGTATTTATGCCAACTGACAGATCCGAGGTATGTAGAAGAAAAACTTGATAATGTTTCTACATCTGTATTTATCACATAAAGTATGGCGCAGGGGTGTAATAAAGCCATTTAATAAAAAACAATATTGCACTAGTGTAATAACACTTTGACATGACATTATTTGCGTTATATATAAACATAGCGTTAAAGTGCGCTAATGTAAGCGTTACACCATGGGTGCGTCAATGAAAATGACTCTTGTTAACAGTTTACCATTCTTATTTTATATATGTGATAAATAGAATATTATATTCGTGTAGATTCAATACTGAATTTATTGAACTCGTTGAATAAAACAATATAATGCTTGCCATAGGCTCTGGTAATATGATTTTATTCAACACGTTCAATAAATTTAGTATTAAACTTACACTCATTCAATATCCTCCTGTATATAACATATCCGAAAATACAAACTTTAATACTTTAGCTGCTCACCTGATTAGGTTTGAAACTTATTTGTACATAAAAAAAACAAACAAAGTTTACTTGATGTGCCCAGTGTTAATTAGACTAACATGTCAAGAAAGTATGAAAGTACGGAATTTGCTTTAACTATTCAATAAATGATTAAAATATGCTAAAATATTGTCACAATTGGATTTAAGTAGACACATTTATTTTGTTCCATACCTTTTGATATAAAATATATGTATTCTTTGGATCAGTCTGTTTTTGTTTAACAAGTGTCAGCTTCAAAACAGGTCATTGATTTTCAAGCTGTTATAGCAATATCTTTAACATCTTCATAATATAATAGTCGTTTTCAACATAGAATTTTTAAAAGTCCATTCAGAATCTGACCAAAATACAAGGGGAAAAACTGAAATTTATTATAAATGATAACATTATATATTTCCAGTTAAAGATAACTACAACATTTTACATAATCTATTTCAGGTTAAAGATAACTACAATGTTTTACTTGTAGAAAGGTTGATACGTATAATGACCTTGGCGTCGCAGCCTAACAGTAAGGTCAGATTGTCAACACTGGAGCTGAGTATACGACTGTTAAAGCTATTGGTATATACCCCCGGTAAATCCTACCTACAAGACAGACATCTAGCATGTATTGAAAATGCCCGGGAATGTAGTAATCAGCTGTTGAGAAATTTTTACAAGGTTTGCTAACTTCTGTTCACAAAAATTATTTCAATGAAATATGTTAAGTATATAAATTTAAAAGTTACAGACAAAATTGCATCTGTATTGTGAGTCACCAGTTAATTCTTACCCTGGCCTTACCACCCACAGCATGGTACAGGGATAGTCTAGATAAAACATTTTTACATAAGGCCGAATTAACATGGCAGTAGTCTGTGCAATAAATGATGATGGCTGCCGCTGCAGTGTGGAGGCTTAGCCATAAATTGATAATCTAAGTCAAATTTCTTGTCATCCCTTCTTCTGTAATTGGTAGGATTAGGTTACAACTGACATGTGCATCACATTTTCTGTATTTCTCATGTAAAGTCCTGTCAGTATTGTACAAAAATGCTCAAATTGATCATTTACTGATTTTGTTCTTTGAATATATTAAATGGTGGTTTATTGATAATTTTAAGGAGTTTTTGTGCCATTTTCTTGATATTTTTAAAGTTAAGTGTGATTAAATTATGCACTTATACTGTTTAAAATCATGTCTATTACTAAATTTTATAATCACAGAAAATAATAAATGTAAACCTTAATTGTGTACTTCAGAGTGAAGAAATATTTTTGGATATGTTTGAAGATGAATACAACGAAATGAAGGTAAGGCTGACCTCGATGTTTTTGACAAGCCAGTGTTTTAGAAACTAATATATAAGTAACTCGTTTGTTAAAGATCAGTGCCAGTTTGTAATCTGGTAATTAATGCGCCAGTCATGCTCCTTGTGTACTCTAATGGTGTGCAGAGAAGAGCAGTGGTAATGGGGTTTTAAATCATGAAAAAAAAAAATCTGTGCTATTACCATCAAATTCCAAAAGCCTAAAGATTTTGTATGTATACCTAAGGATCTTAGCAATTTTGATCTTTGCAAAATTGAAAACTTGGGATAGTGTAGGTTTTGACAGATTGTTTTCTACTGATAAGCCACTTACTCCACAAACATTAAAACAGACTGAAGCCAAATGTTGTTACTAAACTGTTTTGTCAAACCACTGACTTTATGTTGAAAAATTATATTATTTCAAGACCATGCTGACACTTAATTTAAATATGTAAAGGAATTGCAAATTTGTGTTTAGTTACATTTAAAATGCCCATTATATGAGCCGTGTCATGACAAAACCAATATAAAGGGTTTGCGGCCAGCATGGATCCAGATCAGCCTGCGCATCCGCGCAGTCTGATCAGGATCCATGCTGTTGGCTATAAGTTTCCCTACATGTAATAGGGTTTGAAAGCGAACAGCATGGATCCTGATCAGACTGCGCAGGCTGATCTGGTCTGGATCCATGCTGGTCGCAAACGCACTATGTTGGTTTTGTCGTGACGCGGCTCATATTATATTGAATTGTTTTTCAGTCTCGACCACTGAATGTAGAATATCTCACAATGGATGCCTCCATTTTATTGCCACCTACTGGCACACCACTAACTGGTATTGATTTTAACAAGAGACTACCTTGTGGAGAAGTTGAGAGAGCCAGGAGGGTAAGTGTCTAATTTGTGTAACTTAAAAATAAATGTTAACATGAAGGTTCATGTGTGTGAAAAAGATATAATCTAAAATAAAGTTGCCCTTTTTTTATATTGTAAACATTTATCTGATGAAATTCTTACTGCTGTTTAACTTGAAGTAAACCATTTGTGATGAAAGCTTTCGAGTCCATCTAGTTCTGGGTTCAAGGTTGTTATTAAGCATTTTTCTAAGCTCAAACTCAGATATCAGGTATTTGATTGGTCAGAAGCCAACACAGAATGTATATTGACCAATGAAATGTTGAGATTTGAAGCAGAACACAGAGAAATGTTGAAGACCAGGTTTCATAAGGGGAAACATGGTTGTGACCCTTAGTAAGGTTCAAACCTACGACCCCTGGGTTTAGAGGCAGATGCCTTGAACACCAGGGCACCACTCTCTCTGTGCTGTTTTGTAAAGATAAAGTAGGGGGAGTTTTAAATTTGTTGGTATGGAGCATAAACAGTTTGTCTTTTGCAATTTCTTTATGTTTTAAAAAAAATTTTTTCTGAGTCAGTGATTTGATTTTTAACAAAGTTTTTGTCTTCTAAAAATTTTTAGGTTTTTTTATTTGTGTTTTTATATGTGTTGTAAACCAATTTTAATTCAAAAAACAAATGTTGTGGTCTTTCATTTTTAATGTTGTAAAATCTGTTCTTAAAAATTTAAAAAAATATCTTTAGTAAATTTTTCTTAAAAAAGCATAAAATTAAACATAGATCGGGTTTTGGGAAGTGTTTTCATCTTTTTCACCCATGCATTTTTTCCCCCATTAAGTAGCCAACAATATTCAATTACTTTTTAACAATGATATAGCTTGAATAAAAAACCCGGTGTATATTCAGTGAAAACTTATTTTTTTGGTGCGAAATCACCAAAATTGTCGCACCCTATTTAATTTTGAATCTTTTTTATGTGACTTTAATCATAGTTAATGGTATCTGAGGTCTTTGTTCACCAGTAAAGTTGAAAGTTGCCATATTCCCTATACTGTGTCATATGTGGCCAAAGAAGTATTATAATGATATTTCAGAGATCTTGTGAATAAAGGGCATTCATTACCATACTGTTTTATATTGTTCTCTTTGTCCAAGAAGATACAGCGGTGTTAAATTGTACCCCTAGATATGTGCTTTATGCCGCACATTCTAAAGAACAAATGAAGCCTTGTGAGAAAAGAATGGAGATCAGTTTTATCTTGTACTCTTCTGCGAAGAATTAAGTGTTGTGCTTCTGCAGATGTCGGGTACCTTTGTGGCCAAGTGGTTACAATTGTTGGCCTTGAATACTTGCTGGTCAACACTGGGTTTGAATCCCTGGAAGGTTTTTGATTTTTATCTTGTCAATAAGTTGTTCAGCTAGCTTTTGTAAGATCTTAGTTCTAGTCTGGTTTGCTTAAGCCTGAAATAATGCACTTAGCGTGACATGAGATTGTCCTTTAACTTTAACAGTATGAACTTCCTCCAGAAGTCAGACACCAATGTTGGTGATAATGATAATGACTTGTCAGGTATTCACATACACAAATATACACACCCATAAACGTTGTTCACTAGCCACTCACCACTGTAGGTTCAAGCCACGCAAGCCTCTTCATATTCTTTCATGTGAATAAGCTATCCAGCTAGCTTACAGAACAAAAGTGGTTCTACTCAGGTGCCTGTTTGTTCCAGAAATGTTACATACAGAGAAGTACCTGATGTCTTCCAGTAAAGCTGGAAAGTCGTCATATGACCTATATTGTATAACCCAATAAAAAAAACAAAAACAAAAAAGCACCCCTTACGTGCATAATACATTGTTTTATATAAGGATATGTTTCCTATCAATTTATAATGTTCCCAGTGCCTCTAGTATATGATATGTCAAGCATGCTATCTCCTCGGACAGCCTCAAATGTCTTCATTGCTTTACAGATAGAATCAGATATTTGAAGAAAAAGTATATGTAATCAATATTACAGATTTCTGCCTGTATATGATATCAAATCTTGACTTTTGTCCTACACTCTTTTTATATAAACCAAAATCCTTTACATTAAGAATATATGAGCTGAGTCACGACAAAACCAACATAATGGGTTTGCGACCAGCATGGATCCAGACCAGCCTGCGCATCTGCGCAGTCTGATCAAGATCCATGCTGTTCGCTTACTAACCCTATTACAAGTTGAGAAACTGATAGCGAACAGCATGGATCCTGATCAGACTCCTCGGATGCGCAGGCTGGTCTAGATCAATGCTGGTCGCAAACGCACGTAACTATGTTGGTTTTGTCGTGACCTGGCTCATATGTTTTTATCATACTCTTAAAGAAAGCATCAGTTTTAAAAATAAATCATGAAAAGATGTGTTTTGATAATTATTAAATTGAAGTCTGGGTGACTGTTCTGTTGTTGTTGTTATTTTTGTTTTTCTTAATCGCAATCAATTGTACAGTAGGTTAAGGAGTTTTGATGTAATATTTTGATCCAAGCGTATACCAAAGGTACTTATAGCAATGGCATCTGTATTAGAGATACTAAGGGGTTTTTTCGGTAAAATCATTTTGGGAAAAGCTCCTAAAATTTATGATAAATTAAAATAAAAGAAAAGCCCTTAATGTTAAAATAGGCCAATCACCAAACAAGTAGACTCCCTCAAAAATAAAATTGGCTACCTTTTTTCCACCCCCCTAAATTGCTTAAACATTTCAAAAAATTCGAAATACCAAAATTCCTAAAAAATTTCCCCCTAAATTTTTTTAATGGGGGAGTGGGGATTTATTTAAAAACAGTTTTCTTTAAAACCTTTTTCCAAAAAATTTTTATTGAAAATAAAAAAAGTGAAGTTTAAGAACTTTTTGTGTTTCTATAAAAAATGGTCCCGAAGAAAATTTTGTAAAATTATTTATTTACTGTTTTAGTTCAAAAGTTTGGGGAGTAGATTTTTTCATAAGAAGGTAGGGGAGGGGCATTGTTAAATAGGAATTTTAAAGTAGTTATTGAATAGCTTTTTATCTTGTCTATTGACTTTCCGGTGGCACCATCAAATTTGATCAATTTGGTATATATCAATTTTGTACACATTTTAAGATTGGCATGATAAACTCCAGTTAATATGGCAGGGAACTGTATAACGATATCAGGTGTCATTTCCCTATCTACTGTTTACTCTATCTGAACTTAATGACTACTTTTTGATACCTGCTATATAGATTTATCACACATATGAAGAATTTAAGCACCATAAATCACTGTTTATTGATTATCAAGATATTAAATTAGTTTGTTCTCAACTGTTTCAAGTACATTAAGGTCAATTTATATTGAAAATGCAATCACGTTACGTCAAGCCACTGTTCGTTCAAGTGTGATATATACTCTATAACAGCTAAATGTACAAACTGGTAGCTTTTAAGTACACAGGTTTTTATGATATATGTCTTATTAAAAGCTCTCTTGGGTTCATTTAAATGTTGCCACACTGATTTTAATATAAGGTGCATTAAAAATATATGATAACTTGTATAAGACAACTCTATATTTAAAATTTCTATAAATTGATAATTTGAGTTGCCTCCCTTACATTGTAGGACCTTGCATGTCATTTCAGTATGTTACAAAGATTTTTTTAAAAAGATTATTCTTTTTTTGTTTTTCTTTTTTAAAAAACATAGTGAAAGATAAGAGTCATTTTAAATCATTTTCAAAAAATCTTTTTTTTGTTCATATAAAGGAGTTGTCAATCAATATTGTGATGAATAATCTTATGATTTCATGTGTAATTTTCTGAAAATTTGTTTTCGAAAATCTTCAAGCTGTTTAACTATTGATATGAGCTATTCAGATTTCTGTAAAGATTTTGATCCAGATAATTTGATGAGTAACTCACTTCATTTAATCAGAACATGAAATTATTTTTGAGAAACAGAAATTTTCAGTAAATTCGCAGTTTTATAATAATTTGATTTTTTTTAGAAATGCGTTATTTGCAGTATTACTGAAGTTTTATTGGCTCGTTAATCTACAATAAGTAACAATTCTATATTACGTAGTTGATAAATATGAAATCATCTTCTGTAATTGTGCAATGAACTTCACCTGCTTCGCATGTAAAACATTGTTTAACCCATTACTTCATGAGCATTTTGTGAAAAATGGCTGTTTTCATTGAAAAGTCTCCCGTTACAAGTTCAAATTGCTATAAAACTATAAAAACTGCTTTAATACTAATCAAACTTGGCACAAATGTTGACTGGACCATTGCCTTTGCAACAACATGCTCAGTCTTAAAATTCCTGTTACCATGGCAACGAGGGAACATCTCAAAATTGCCAAAAATCACTATTTTGCGTTGATTTTTTCCATCAAAATGGATTTCAAAGTGCTGCAACTTCTCAATGGATTGAGATAGAGTCAAATGCTTTTCAGCGTTGGTTACATGTTACCTTATGATCGATCTTGGGTCATTTTTAGCCTCTCACAAGTCGAAAATTTTCTTGGTGATGTGGGGGACTAGGGGCCTAAATAAGGCATTTTGTCACCATTTGAGACAACAAAAAGGGGGGTTGAAAGGCGTTACAAGGCGTGTATATCGCGTAATGGGTTAAGAAATCAATTTTGAAATAAAATAACAATAACAACAAAAACATAAGTTTTAAATTACTTATATATAGCCATATCTGACTTGCTCAGATGTGCAGAGGTCAGCTGACACTATGCCAGCCTGCTACCTTATTGGCAGAATTACTGTACTGGCCTGACACATACTATACCAGCCTGACACATACTATACCAGTCTGACACATACTATACCAGTCTGACACATACTATACCAGCCTGACACATACTATACCAGTCTGACACATACTATACCAGCCTGACACATACTATACCAGTCTGACACATACTATACCAGTCTGACACATACTATACCAGCCTGACACATACTATACCAGCCTGACACATACTATACCAGCCTGACACATACTT